CCAATTGAAGTCGTATTGATAAACTAAATTAAAACTGTAATTTACTATATGTTGATTCAAAACATCTAAGAATATTTTTTTATAACCATAATGTTGTGTTTTTGTTCAAAAGCATACTAACTGGGATTTGTTTTTGGCCCACCCTAATTCCTTCAAATGGTCATTTGCTCTCAACCTACCTAATCATTCTTGCCAGCCCTTCTACTATTATAAGAAATAAAAAAAAGACTAAGAAAGAAATATTAGATGATTCTAAACCGCTCATAATCCATCTAATCCATTTACAACAAAAACCTAACCTTTGCATCATATATAAAATAGAAAATCTCAATTAACTAAATCATACACTTTCCGAAAATCCATCTTTACGATAATACCCTTCATTTTAACCTTTTTACTTCCTCTTTGTGACTTCATTTATTACGACCACACTATCCATGATTCCCTTATACCCTTTATGAATGAAAATTGTTTTTTATGTATAATGTTATGAACTACTTTCTGGATTCTTAGATAAGAGCTTGGATACGATTTTATACATACTTCTTACTAAAGATATCGACCTATACTTTTCAAGTCCTTGTGAATTGTATATCTTTGAGATTAATTTAATAAATGATGCGTTACAACCTATAGGTCATCTCCCACATCTATGAAAGCAATGCAAAGTCCTCATTAAGTTTTCTTTAATGATATCCCAGCCAAATTTATAGAAATTAAAATTAAATCCGTATGGATCGGGGTCTTTTAACTACTATCACAACATCATGCCGCATCCTTGATCTCCTCCTAAAAAAATCTACTAATTAGTAGAACATTATCCTCCGTATTTATTTGTGCAAAATCAACATTATTCCTTCTAACTTTGAACTCTGAAGATATACTGTAAATCTATTATTGGTAATAAGCTTTGGACCACCTTTTTTCCTTACTATAACTCTTAGTTGTTTAATAAAATCTTTTTCCATTCCTCTATAAGAAAAATTAAGCAAATTATGCTGTTCCAATTCAATTTATAAACGAATTGTCATGTATAAAACACCACTTTTAAAAAATTCAATTTATAAATGAGAACGCAACGAAAACAAAACCTACTTTTGTATAAAAAGTTGCATGCTATACATTAGTTACACATTCCAATGTGAAAGTCTCTCACTTTCTATTATTGGTTGTACAATAAATATAAAATTTAAAAGCTATATATATTAAAAAATCTCATTCCCACTTGAGTTAATCATATAGAAAACAAAATGCATGTAGATATATAAACTCTATTACACAAGTGTCATTCTTTTATATAGAGATAAATAAGTAAGTAGTACAACAATGTATAAAATAAATTGTATCAAAACTACTAAAAACAAACTAACCCAAAGAAGAAGCATAAGAAAACATTGTTACAAGCATTACATAATATTTACAAATTGGATAATTAATATTAGAGGTGTCAATTTGACCATAACACATGGATTATTTCTAACCTTATTTTGAATAAGTTCCTCTTTATTGAACTATCAAATGAGTGGGCCAAAATAAAATCTTAGTCCCTAAAGCCTCCTTTTAAGTGGATTAAGATCATGACCAAAGTGGGTTTGACCCCAGAACAAAAATTTAATTAATTTATAAATAATACACCTTCAGCCTAGGTCAAAGGTCGTGCTAAGTCATCCAAGCTTCAAGGTCTACCCAAGTTTGGCTGGACTGAATTTCAAGTCGAATTAGCCTAAAATTGAAGGTAAAATCAAGTTGGCTCAAGACAAAGTTCAAGTCGAGTTAGGTTAATGGTCGACTAGAGTCGATTATGCCAAAGGTCGAACAGAACAACCTAAGTTAAAGGCCAAAAAGGATTGGCTCAAGAAGAAGGTCAAGTTGAGTCAACCTAAGTTGAAGGTCAAGTTAGGCCAACCGAAACTAAAAGTTGAGATGGATCAACTCAGCTCAAGCTAAAGGTGGAGAAGGGTAAGCCTAGACAAGACAAGTCAGCCTATGCCAAAGGTCAAGACAAACCAACTCATGCCCAAAGTCAAGACGTGTTGGCCTAGGCTAATGGTCAAGACAGGTCGCCTTTGGTCGAAGGTCACTATGTTTTGACCTAGGTCGAAGGTTAAGACGTTTCTAATCGAGCCAAAGGTCAAGAAAGGGCGACCTAGAATAAAGGTCGACACGAGCGGACCCAAGTCAAAAATTGAGACAATGAGCCTAGTCGAGACTAGTTGACCCGAGCTGAAGGTCGAGATAGACTGACCTAGACTAAGGATCAAGACATGTACGGGTCAAGGGGTTGACCCATGTCAAAGCACTAGTACTAAAACATCGTCTAATGTCAGTGTTTTTTGGCCTTTCACGTTGAATTTAAGATCGACGTCAAATTAGAGATTTTAAATTGACGTCGAATTTAAAAAATTTGATGTTACGTTAATTAACGTCGAATTTTGTCAATATACGACGTTAATCATTTTTTTTGTTTTTATTAATTAATTGTGATCATTTTTTACAACTCTATAAAGACCAAAAAATAGAAAAACAACAAATTTCAGTTTTTGGTATTTTAAAAACAGAAAAACAACAAATTTCAGTTTTTGATATTTTATAAAGTACGAACTATGAATGTGCAGTGTAGTATCAACAACATACAACAAACAACAACAACAAACAAGTTCAACTAAACAACAACAACAAACAAGTTCAACCAAACAACAACAATTTAAGTTCAATCAAACAAGAACAACAAACAAGTTCAACCAAACAAGTTCTTCAAAACGAAAATGAAAACTAACCTTCAAAAGGTGGGTTCGTCAGAATAAAGTGTTGCCACCCATGAGAGAGAAAGTAGAATGTGCCTATGTAGGACAAGAACATGAAAATAATCGGTCAAAACAAACGAAAATCATACCTAAAGTAGTTAATTAACATGCATTTGTATCAAATGAAAGAAAAATTACATGTGATAGTTGTCAAACTTCGTTCGAGAAAAATTTGAGCAGAGAAAAGGGTATCGCGCGCAAAGATAAACTGAATGAATTTTCAATCTCTCGCTCAATTTTTTATTGAATTCACTAACCTTTTGACATCTAATGCTAGGGCATTCGACATTTTATAACCTTTTGACGTGTAATTCTAGGGCATTTGACGTCATACGTAAATATATTTTCACCTTCAGGCCAAACACTTTTGTAAAATTTATCCAATAAGACGTTGAATTTCTCAATATTCGACGTCTTATAAAAAATTAACGTCGAATTAAAGTTCTAAACGACGTCTAATAATTGCATTTATTTACAAAAATGTCATCGATCATTTTTAACGTTGGTTATTCAGTGGTTGGACATTGAACGCGTGACATTATACGCTATTTTTGTACTAGTGAAGGTTGTGACAAGTTGGCCCGAGCTAAATGTTCAGATGGGTTGATCCATGCATAAGATTAAGACAAGTTGGCCTAAGTTGAAGGTTTAAATGGGAAGACCAGCCAGAAGGTTGAGATGTGTTGACTTGGGTCGAAGGTCAAGATAGATCATTTAATTGCAAAGTTCTAGATGAGCCAGCCATGAAAAAGGATGAGATGAGTTGAGTTGACCCCAACTGATGGCCAAATTAAGTTGGCGTGAATCGAAGGCTAAATTAAGTCATCCTAGACTAAAGGTTGAGCAGAATCGGCTTGACCCGTATTCTAGTTGAGTCAATCCATGCTTATATTTAAGCCAAGTTAGCCTAGGCCCATAGTTGAGTTGAGTCAGCTTGGACTCAAGGTCAAGACGAGTCAGTTCTAATTGAAGGTCAAGATAAGTTGGCTAGGACCAAGCTTTAAGACAAGTTGGCCCAAATTAAAGGTCGAGACAAGTCAGTTTTAGTCAAAGTTTTAGTTAAGTCAATACAAGTCGAAGGTTGAATTGAGTCGTTCAGGCTTAGAGTTGAATCAATCCATATCTGATTCAACCTTGTCTATCTTATATTAGACTAATTAACATAAGTTAACCCATGAAGCTTTTGGCACCTTGTAAGCTTTTCCTTATACAGGTCTTTTGGTCTTGTGAATTTGTTTACTTTGAGCTAAGTAGATTGATATTTAATATGAAAGTTGAATTATAGCGCAAATAATACAAAAGTTAAGCATATCTCGATATCTTTCCGAGAGACGTATATGGAGCAACCAACACCAATATGACAACATTGTGGTGATGCGAAGCAAAGTGTGAAAGAAAGAGAATTTTGTGAGGAGAAGAATAAAAGTGCAATCGCAGTGCAACGGTTCAAATGGAAAAGTTCAAGAACAAAAGTAGTGTTTGAAATGAAAGACAATTAATACACACAATGCAATAGTATCATATTAGGAATTAAATGTGAGTTTAAAATTTGATATTAAGTAAAAATAAAAAAATTAATAATATACAAAAAAGAATTCATAAATTATTGTTTTAAGATTTTAAATTAGAAATAATATTCTAGTCTTTGATATAAGTTTCTTCACATCTTATTGGTACTAAATTTCTCAATGTTTTCTTTTTCTTTTTTTTTAAAAAAAAACCTTAATAGTAATATCAAAACCTATACATAGATCATGGATTATTTGACATGATTTACTATAGATCATTCCATGTCATAATTAAGATGCTATAATGAATATTTATGTCAAGGTATGATGGTTGATGAGTGTATGCTATTTTTCCTATTCTCGTGTCTAGGCCTACAAATTAAACCGATTTAACCAAACCGCAAGAACAGTACTCAATTAAAGTGTAGGAATTTAAAAGTAAGGTAAATTTAATGTGAAGTTGGTAAAATGCACACACTTACAACATCATGATGCTATTTACTGCAATAAACAAAATCTGAAAACATGGCGTGCTATAAAGACTCTTATAAATCAAATAGATTATGATCAGTAAATAAATCGAGTTAGGTCTGTGGGGGCATAGAATAGAAAATAAAATGAACAAGTTGACTTTTTTGGCTTATGTGGTACATTAATTAGTGCATTGATGTCTCTTTACTGTGCCACCTATTTAAGCACAAAGCTTTGTGCTCTCTCTCATCTTATTCAAGTGCTCTCCTTGTCATCCAACAACTTGGTGTGGTGTATGCTATTGCTGTTCATCCTCTAAGATGCAGAGAAACCTCATGAAGCTGCTACTGCTGCTCGTAATCTTTTTCTACTTCTCATGTCTTTTTTCTGCCTCTGCTTTTCCTGTAACAAGTAAGATTTTCATTGGATTTATAACTCAATATTCTTCACTTTTCTTTTAGGTTTCCGTGCAAATTTTTAAAATGAACTTGATTAATTTGTTTTGTTACAGGAACCCAAAATTTGAAAGGTGATGAAGAAGATGAATTTTCGGCCGTTCCTTCTTTAACTAGGGTTAGTGCTCCTTACTTTATAGTCTCTCTCTTAAGCTAAGAATATCTTCCTCTCATATGTTCTGGAGTTACTGATTATTGTCATTATTATCAGTTTATACAGCTAATTAACTTAATTAGGGAATTTAAAAGAGAGTAGTAGTTTAAGTGAAAGGATTAAATTGTTCAACAAAATACTTACACAAAATCCTATATAGTAAGGGATGAGATGATAGGTTTTGAGTTCATTAAATAAAATATTACATGTTTATCTCCTTTTTATGAATACCTTTTTATTATAATGTGTTTTGAAGCTGGACCATGCCCTTGGAAATGGTGATGAAGTGGTGGTTGATATGAAAGAAGAAGAAGAAGTCACAGAGAGAAGGGTTAATTTGGAAACTCAAGATTATGAAGGGACTGGAGCAAATAAAGATCATGATCCAAAATCCCCAGGAGGGGTTTAATCCCAAAAGCCACTATATATTTTCATGAAGTTAGTAGCATCCAGAAATGTATAAGAGAATTAATTAACTTACATATATTTGGTCTTTCTTCTTGTATAATCAAATACGAATTATTTTCCTTTGTTTGTTCATAAATTTATGTTTGCTTGTTCAACGTGTCTGGTGGTGTATTATTCAAAAGTTATAATATGGTTATGGTTACAGCCATAACATAATATATATGCAAAACAAGTATATTTTAATCTCCTCCTTCATTGTTGTAATTGATTAAATACTCGTTACATTAGTTTAATACATTTTTTTCTCTTGTTCCTTATCTCTTCCTCAACCATAAGATGATTGTTAATTTGAAGTATTGTTTTAAATAAATTACAAGGTTATTGCAAAAAAAAAAAAANATGTTGACTTCTTCATTCAACAAATTACTCTCCATGGCTTTGCTAAAAGCACAATGGTTTGAGATAGAACTCAATTTAGAATGCGTCTAGCACCAAGGCGATTCAGCTGCAATACTAAGGGCATTTCATCTTTTACACATTTTATGGAAATGCAAGAGAAAAATCATGGGAGTGCAAAAAGAAATCCCCAATTTCCCTAACTCGTAGACTTGGCCCAAATTCAATTTTTTAAATATCTTTCGCCCTTTGTACTTGTTAGGCTTACTCCAATTATATCACCTTTTATTTTTATTTTAATTGGACTAAACGTTTTACAATTTTTCTTTACTAATGTATGTCGCTACCTTTTAGAACGTGTAGAAATTTCTAACGCATTTCGAGAAAAAAAAAAAGCGAAATGTGATGAAATTATCATATTTCGGAAAATATTATGTGGAAATATTTAAAACTTTACCATATTTTGGAAAACATTTCTTGAAGAAACTTAAAAAAAAAATAGATATCAATTGCTTTTAAATGTTGTGTTTGTCGTGTATTAATATATTTACCCCTTTTTTTATTTATAAACATTCTAATCACTTTGACAAATATTTCAAGTGAAATAATCATTGATATCGTTTGTTACTGATGTCAATAATTGAAAATCCCTTTTTTCATAATTAAATTTTTAAGTATTATTTATTTATTTAATAATTTGTTTGACTAAAACTCTTAATTTATAAAAGTATAATAATTGTAATAATTTATAAAGTTAATGATGCCAATTTGAATATAAAAGACTACCTTTGCGTGTTTTCAAATATCGAAATATTTGATTGAATCCTAATTTTGTATTTAAATGCGGGATTTTAAAAAATTAAAATGCTATGATGTTTGAATTACTTTGCAATTAAGTTTTCTCTTTCTTTTGGATAGAATAATTAAGATATTTTATACTTCAACTTTTGGTTAAAGTAATCAAATTTGTTTATGAGATAAAAGTTACTTTTATATATAATTTAAAAAACATATTAGTCAACTTTAAATATTAAAATAATATTTAATAATTCAATTTTAAATATTTAATATTAAATAATATTTAATAAATTTTAAAAAAATAATTATTAATAAATATTTATATTAATATTGATTGATTTTATAGAAGAAACATAATACTATTTTTCTAATTACTTCATTTAACAATAATAAAATCATTTAATTATAAAAATTACTATTTTAATACATAATATAAAGCAAAATTATAAGTGTAATTTACTTTTTAATCATAACACACATTTTATTATTAGAAAGGAAAAGTACACGGTACTAAGCTTTCTTAACAAAGTACACGTTGTCACTTTTCATCACTCTTTCAAAGAGCTTTNAATCAATCTCAATGTGTTCTAAGTGGATTCTGTTATTACTTTTTTTTTTGTCTCTCACTTACTTTCTAGTCCCTTCTCCATTAGGTTAAGTGACACATGAGTTTCTCAACCTTTGGGCCTTTTCTCCACATAGGAAGGGAGTCCAATACCCAACAAGTCTCCTCCTCACAATTATTTGGAGATAACTGCCAAATCAGCGATTTCATAATCAACTTTAAATTTTCTTCTTAGCAATGCTTTAGTTATCATATCAACACCATTGTGATATGTATGAACCTTTTCCAACTCCAATAACTTAGCATCCAAAGTATAATGCATCCAATGATATCTCACATCAATATGTTTGGATCTATAATGAAAAGTTTATTGTTACCAAGATGGATAACACTCTAACTATCAACAAAGAATGGATAGTTATCTTGCACAAAACCAAACTCTTGCAAGAATTTCTTCAACATAACAACTTCTTACATGCTTCATTAATGGAAACGAACTATGCCTATGTTGTGGACAATGTTATACGCCTTTGTAGTCTTGATTTTCAAGCCACAACTCCCCTTACAAACTTACTCAAACAGCTTGCAATGAGCTTCTTTGAATCAATGTCTTCAGTCATATCTGAATCTGAGTAGCCCAAAAAATTAGGCTTATCAATTCCAAAACAAAGTTTCATATCAATAGTACCATGAAGATATCTCAAAATTCATTTCATAGCATTCCATGTAGAATTAACATCTTATTTCACCCTGAAAATCCACATTCTCTAAAGTCTTTTAGCCCTTAGGCAATTTAACCAAGTTATAAGTGTGACTCTCATGCAAATATTTCATCTCATCTTGCATTGAATTATTCTTTTTCTTCATTCTCTAAAGCCTCTTCAAAACATTCATGTTCTTCATCGCCAGTCAAGGTTATATACTCATCATAAGAATACCTTGTACAAGGTGGTCTTTGTATGTTAGACCTCTTGAGTTAAACTTGAGGTGGTTCAGATATATCACCAATATCATTATCATGTTCCTCTTGAGCATCATCAATTGGAACATATACTTCATCTCCAACCTATTGATCATCAATGTCACCATGTTGCTTATCATCTTAAGCTTTAGTTTCAAAATTATCCAAATTATTAATGGGCAACCTCATCAAATTACCATCAATTTCCTCAATGTTTGGTCTTTCATAAATTGTACATAAGAACATCTAACAAACTTCTTCTCAAAAGGATCATAAAACTTGTAGCCAAATTCATCCTCACCATAGCCAATATGCACTACCTTGTCTTCAAATCCAACTTCGATCCTTCATATCTTAGTATATGATCAAATGTATTGAAACCAAAGACAAGCAAATGATCATAACTTACATTCTTACAAAAAAAAATTATTTGGCGCTTCACTGTCCAATATCATAGTAAGAGTGAGATTAATAATGTGCAACA